ATCCAGACAGAAAATCAACAAGGAAATAATAGAATTAAATGAAAAATTAGACCAGATGGACTTAATAGATATATATATAGAACACTTCATCCAAAAACAGCAGGTTACACATTCTTCTCAACTGCACATGGAACATTCTCAAGGATTGACCATATTTTGGGAAACAAAGCAAGCATCAATAAATACAAGAGAGTTGAAATAATATCAAGCATCTTTTCTGATCATAATGCTATGAAACTAGAAATCAACTACAAGAAAAAAAGCAGAGAAAGGAGCAAAAACAACACGCTTCTGAACAAACGATGGATTATTGAAGAAATTAAAGAAGAAATCAAATATTATCTGGAGACAAATGAAAATGAGAACATGACATACCAAATCATTTGGGATGCAGCAAAAGCAGTCCTAAGAGGGAAATTCATCACAATACAGGCTCACCTCACTAAACAAGAAAAAGCTCACATAAGCAACCTCAAACGACACCTAACAGAACTAGAAAAAGAACAAACAAAGCCCAGAGTCAGTAGAAGGAAGGAAATAATAAAAATAAGAGCAGAAATAAACAATATTGAAACAAAAAAGACAGTAGAAAGGATCAATGAAACAAAGAGTTGGTTCTTCAAAAAAATTAACAAAATCGACAAACCTTTAGCCAGACTTACCAAGAAAAGAAGAGAGAAATCGCAAATAAATAAAATTAGGAATGAGAGAGGAGAAATCACAACAGATACCAATGAAATACAAGGGATCATAAGAGAATACTATGAAAAACTATATGCCAACAAATTGAACAACCTAGAAGAAATGGACAACTCCCTAGACTCCTACAACCTCCCCAAACTGAATCAGGAAGAAATGGAGAATCTGAATAGGCCAATCACAAGTAAGGAAATAGAAACGGTAATCAAAAACCTCCCCAAAAATAAGAGTCCAGGACCAGACGGCTTCTCTGGAGAATTCTACCAAACATTCAAAGAAGACTTAATACCTATCCTTCTCAAACTATTCCAGAAAATTGAGGAAGATGGAGTACTCCCTAACACATTCTATGAAGCCAGCATCACTCTGATCCCCAAACCTGACAAGGACAACACAAAGAAGGAGAACTACAGGCCGATATCACTGATGAACATAGATGCAAAAATCCTCAATAAAATTCTGGCAAACCGAATACAGCAATACACCAAAAAGATTATACACCATGATCAAGTGGGATTTATACCAGGGACACAGGGATGGTTCAGCATCCGCAAGTCAATCAACGTGATACACTACATCAACAAAATGAAAAACACAAACCACATGATCATCTCAATAGAGGCAGAGAAAGCATTCGACAAGATCCAACACCCATTTGTGATAAAAACCCTCAATAAAATGGGTATAGAACGAAAGTACCTCAACATAATAAAGGCCATATATGACAAACCCACAGCCAACATAGGAGAGATTTGAATAAGGCCTCTGGGGAAGAACAGAGTTATTTGTGATTCACACAGAGGAATGAGTCCTAGTCAATGAACCATTTATCCTAATTTCATAAGAAGAGGTGAACTGTGCTCCGTGGCAAAGCTTGGTCTGAGTCAGGCAGCCTGGTGATGAATCGAGCCCCCTCCTGACTGCCTGTGTAAAGTCAGATATGTCGCTGAGCTCCCCCAAGTCTCAGTTTCCTCTCTTATCAAATAGGATCATGCTAGTGCTTCCCGGTTGGAAGTCTGTGCAGATGAAAAGCAATGAGCCAGTCCCCCTAAGGTGCTGAGTGCCGTGCCTCACACTCAGTAAGCCTCCCCAACATGCCTTATTATTAGTGTCAGCATTCCTGTTAGTATTCTCACTGTCATTGTAGTCATCAACTTGATAATGACTTAGAAAGCAGAGCTTCTCTCCATGGAATTAACATTTTACACTGCAGGTGACTCAATGGTTCCTTTACATGTGAGGTTGCAACTGGCCTGTGAGATGACGGAGAACTGATGCATTGAGCAGAGTCCTGTGATGACTATTTTGATTTCTTCTATGGATACTTACTTTCCCATACTTTGAAATCTTCACTAAATAAATGCTGTGACAATTAGTTTTTGGTAATTCATGCCTTCCTCACCAGATAGAACAATTTGGTTAATCCTTCTTCCCACTGCTACCTCTAATACCATGCCAATATTTCAGCCAGACCATGAAGAAAAATAGTTTTCAAAGTGCCAACATCTATCTTGAAGTCGTGCCATTTAAAGGTACTTCATCATTCCCAGCATAAGGAGAATCAGTTGTGCTCTCAAGTCATTCAGGACCAAGATCGTGTTGGATGGCCACCTCGGGAGTTCTCCAGGTGACATCTGAAACTGGCTCCCATGCATGGGGGGCAAAGAGAGAGCAAAGAGAGAAGCAGCTCACTCCACATTGGTAGATGGCCGTTTGAATAAGCAAGGGAACATATATATTAGGTTGTGTTAGGCGAGGCAAAATGAGTAGATGTCTGCACCTGCCCACCGGAATCATAAAAGTTTCTATAGAGGCTTTGACGGGGCTCAGTAACGTCTACTGTCCAGATGGTCTCAACAGCACATTCTTCTCTCCAGGCTGCGTCATTGAAATGTCTCAGGAACATTGGGAGGAGTGTGTATTCCAAGGACAGGGGAGTGAGTAAGAAGCGTCCGATTTACTGAGTCCATCTGGAGTGTCAACCAGAGGTCACATCCTCTCAGTGACATCCTCCAACAGAGCAGCTTCTGGAATCTTGGGGAGCTCATTCCACTGGGCCCATTTTTCAAGGTTATGGGGAAAATATTTCTCCATACCTACAAAGAACTCCCTGTGCTGCTTCACTGGAGCTCTTTGTTTGCTGAGAAGACCACCTTGTGGGGTATCCTTGAGTACTCATGGGCTTGCCTCAGTGTAGGTGGATGCAGCAACACTCTAAGTACATTTTGCCCTCATGTTTGCCACGATGGAGACTAACAGGAAGAATGTGCAATTACCAAACCCAACCTTCAGATATCACATGTCTTGTCCTGAGCACAGTGAGTAAAGGACCTTTGAGAGCACCACGAGGTGACCTCAAGACAGAGCCAGGCTGTCCTTAATGTTACCTGTGAGAAGCAGAGCAGTTTATCAATTCATGAGTGCGGGAAGCACATGCTGAGTTTCTGCTCAGATGGGGCCACTACTGGAGCTGTGCAATTCCCACACTGCGATGAAAGTATGGTGGGGAGGGCAGTGATGAAATGTAGTTTCCTCGGCACCATGTTTCTGACAGTGTGAGATCGGAGCCAGGCTCATGCATCTTCCCAGGTGAATGCACATTCTTAGGATGGTGTGTCCTTTGTTGGAGGTGGAGATGAGGAGTTGGCAGTTAAAACAAAAAACAGAGACATTCCTGAGTTAGGAAGTCAGAATGATTTCCTGGAAACCTCCTTCTAGACTATCCTTTTCCAGATAGTTCATAAACGGAAGATGAGTAACAGAAAATGAAATGGAGATATCTTATGCATCTCTCAATGCTTGGTGCTGAATATCCATAGAACTTTTCTTCCTACATTGGACGGGTGACTGATCAATGATGCTACTGCCCAGTTGTTTTCCCTCTTGTATGATAAACACTGGTGGCAAACTGGGCCCTTCTTTTCTCTCTTCATTGAGATCACTGTGGTTCTTCGGCCCTGCCCCTCAGCATTCTTCCAGGAATGCTTCTCTGTCCCTGGGTGTGGTGGAGTTATGGTTACACTTTGGGTGGACTTGAGAGGGCTGTTTGTCTCAGATGACATCAAAGGTGAGCACTTCCTCAGGGAATTGGGAGAGGCTATGAGCAGAGATGGTATCTGTGCAGACTAAAGGGAAAGTATGCCTGTCAGCGTGACCCCAACACTGCTGGAATGAACGTTACTCTGTACTATCATCATGGAATGATCATTTTGACGAAATTCAGTTTTCTGATGTCTCATCATATTTGGATTAAATTGTGTAACTACAAGGAACAGGTGGGTCATGGCCACAGAGAGTGATTTAACCATTGGTAAGAAAGAGTCTCTGCTTACATTTTTTATAAGATACAAATATTTTAATGTCAGAAACATTTTCTAAACTTAACCATTCTGAACACCCAGAAGTCAATTTTCTTCTAAAATGATGTTTTTTTTTTTTCTTCCAGTGCGCTTATTCTGAATCTGACTGAAGCATTGGAAGGATGCCCACCTACTGCATCCTTGGTATTGTAACTGAACTCAGTGGGTTCACCTCTTGGTCAGAGCAGAGCTGAAAATACAAGCAAAGCAGAAGTAGGTGAAGAAAGTTTTATTTCTTGCAGAAGCAATAGGGAACACCAGGGCTCTCTGCCAGGGCAGAGTCTCCCCAAACAAGGATTTGAGGGGTCCTTTTATTGTGAGATTATAGTACAGTTCATGAATATTCAGTTAAGCCCGAGGCAGGACATCAGGGTTGACAAATAAAAATGGCAAGTTATAGGATATATTGGAATATATGAGGAAGCCATTTGGTGTAAACCTAATTCGGCCTGACCTTGTCTTTCCAAAAGGGCCTGACCAAGGCCTTTGAGCATGCATTGTATATCTGCTTTAGAGATTCCCTATGGCAAGAGCAAAGGTCCTTGAGATAAAGGTGCAACTTCCCTCCCCCTCCCAACTTTGGTGTCTCCTTAAGGATTAAGTATCTTTCCTTAGGCTAGAAACTGATTGCTGTGCTCACCTGTGACTGCCCAGCTTGAGACAATAGACTTGCCTCCTGCTACGCCCACCAAGATAGCAGACCCACTACCTGCTGTGTCCATCAAGTGCTGTGCTGACAGGGCAATCTTGCGACTATTGTGGGAGGGACATTTCAATCATATATGAAACACCTTCTTTGAGGGTATATAACCACCCTGTGTACCCCTACTTCTTTGGAGTGCTCTGTTCCTTTGTGGAAAGACTCTCCCGGGTTATAATCCTAAAATTTCAGCTCAGAATAAACTCACCCAAATTTTCATTTATAGATTGGTTATGGATTATTTTCGTTGACAGGGTTTATTGCCTAGTGTTATGTTCCTTTAAGTCTCATTGGTAGAAGAGACATGCTACTACATACATAGTATGATCCAGAAATGGCTGCCTGGTCCCTCCCAGAGGAGGAGAATTGAAAATATTAATAAGTTGATAATGGAGAAAGTTCACTTCAGAGCAGATCGAGGCGAATACAACTGGCTTCGGCCAGCCTGCTTGTGGGATCCTTCTGTGTTCAGGCTCTTCCTGTAACTTTCCATCTGCAGACACTCAACAGACAATGCTAGTTTTTAACAGATCCTCTGTACCCCTTTCTTTGCCTAGTTCCCTGGTCAGCGTGTCTGTCTGTGTACCTATTTGACAAAACTATGTCAGACTCCAGTTGTCGACAAACATCAAAATGGAGAGAGACTAATCATTGCATATGGTGAGGGGACCTTCAGTTGTGTGCTTGTAAAGAAGGATCAGAGTCCCATGAGTCCCCTCCCAGGAGTACCTTTCAATGCAAATATCCCTGCAGAGGACGAATTCTGTCTGGCATTCTGCTCAGACACCTAAACTCAAGGGCTGTCACTCAGACTCAGGAGATGGAGTGTTTTGAACTGACCAATCAGAGGCGCGGTCGGGGCAGGTGGGTGGGGAGAAGCGCCCCAATCCCCCGGAAGTTCCTGCTTGGGACGCGCTGAGGACCGCATCTCCCGCCATTAAAGCCTCCTTGTGGTTCAGAGCCCTGTTCTGTCGAGTCGTGACCTGTAGAGACCGCAGTGTCCTAGGAAGGACTCGGGGGACCCGGGAGCCCTGGAAATGGTGAGTGTGCGGGCCTGGGGCGGAGGACGCGGGAGGAGGGGCTGGTGGGACGCGGCGGGGCGGGCCCGGCCTCCCGCGGTCCCCTCTGTGGTCTGCCGCCACGAGTCCGCGGTGGCGCTCCTCGGTCCTCAGGCCTCTCCGGCCGCAGCGTGGTGGCGGGGCCGGCAGCCGGGCCCCGGGCGTCCTGTGGTCCCTGCGCGCGGCGACTTGGGCCGGAGCGTCTCTGGGCCGCTGTGCGCCCGCAGCCCCGCGTGTCCCAGACGGTGCGGGGCCCGCGGGAGGGTCCTCAGGACAGTCGGGCCTCGGTCTCCGGGGTCCGCGCCCGGAGGGGCTGCGGTCTGTGGGGTTCCGAGGGCCTCTTTTCTGCCGAGGGGTCACCCGTTTTCTTCTCCATTTTCCGTACATTTGAGGAGCAGAGTCTCAAATCCCCGACCCTGTCCCGCGCGTGCAGGTCTTCCCAGGGCTGGGAACAAATGCTTGAATCTCCAGGGCCTCGCCGAATTCCCAAATGCCCACTTCCTGCCTCCGATTCACAGCATTATCATCAAGTATTTGTCGTTCTTGTTGGAATTGAAACAGATTGAACATTTTAATTGGTTATCGTTTTCTCACAGTCCGCGGATTCCTGTTTTAAAAAGATTTGTGTGTGGATATTTTCCATGAGTGAAAAGCAGCCTCTCACCGCCTGGAACTACGTTGCATGATATCCTCCTGCGTCTCCCCAGGATCTTTCTGGGCGCAGACATCCTGTGGGAACTCCTCTGGGGCCAGGTTCCTCTTCAGAAAACACCCGGGATGATCTGTCCTGTCAGCACTGTCCCCATCTGCGTTAGTCACCTTTGGAAGTTTTATTCACTTTATTTTAGTCTCAGTTTTTCAGTGAGTAAATATTTATTTAATCAACACGCAACACGATGTACAAGATTTCCAAAGAGGCACGAAAGAGGTGAATTTCAGGAAAAGTAAAATATTCCAGTTTTACATGGCCTGCACTCAATTCTTGTTTCACTCTTTTCCTCCCATGGTGGGTCGTAATATTCTGAGGTATGTTCTTTTATTTTGGGTGAGATAAAATGGATTTCCACAGCTTAGACTTGCAGACCTCCAGTGATCAGGTAGGGTTCATAGTTTATAAATATTTCCTGTTTTGGAAATAATGTGATATCTTGTTTTTCCAGAATGCAGTATATTTTTGTGGGGTTTCTCGTTGATTTAGCAAATTGCTATACCATTTTGTTCCCTCATTTCCACCTAAAGAGTGGTTTGAGTGTGTTCGCTGGATGGTTTAAACACTGGTTTTGTGTATTTAAAATATCAGTGTTGGTGAAAAAACACTCCAGTGGGGGCAGAGGCCTGAGGGCAGTGAGTCTAAGCTAAGGCCCCCCTGGGCCTGCAGAGGGAAGGCCTTGAAGGCCCAGTTGTCCTTCCTGGGGAGCCTCCCCCTGCAGGTGTCCTACTGCTCACACCCCCATGGAAGGAGCCTTCATCCTGAGAGGAGCTGCAGAGCCCTGGAAAGCTGGAGGTGCATGTGCCCATGGGGTGGGAAGTGATGCCCTTCTGAGGTTGTCGCTGTGGTTGCCTTGGGCCTGTTTCTAGACACAGTTGGAGTTTTGCATGCACAGTGTGGGTGCACGCAGGGAGTAATTTGTTTACACTGAGAAAGTCTGTGAGAGTCAGGAGCTCTGTGTCCCGGATTAGGGCCCATTAATCCAGGGGTCCATTTGGGTCAGAACCTTAAACTGGATCCAGCTGAGTTTCCTCACTGTGAGAAGGGAGCCTGAGAGAGGGAGCATGTGCACCGTTCCCTGGGGAGAGGAGGGTGTGTGGGGCTCCCAGAGCTCCTTCCTGTGGCTGCTCAGGTGCCCTCCCCTCCTTCTCCAGGGACTGACCCCCTCCAGGGCTCTGTCTCCACCAGGAGAGTCAGGAACATGGAACCTTCTGACTGTGGCTTTCCTTCTGTCCTGTGGGAAGCAGGCTGCTCATCTGAGCTGGTTCCAGTGTTTGTGTTTCTTCCCTTTGGATTCCTTTATCGATGGACTAGTGCAGCCCTTTGGCTCTCGTTTCCCTTAGCACTTGGGCCCTGAGATAGTAAGTTGATTGAGGAATTTGATGTGAGGAAAGCAAGAAAATTTTTTCCTTTTTTCGGTCGCTTTTATCTATGTGGGTGTCTCTAGAGAACACAGAAATTTAAAAGGCTAAAGCAATTGAAATTCTGTTTTAATCAATTTGAGAAAAACTTCTGGAAGCTTATGTAAATCTTTGAAAATCTAATACAGTTAAGGGCTTAAACTTAAACCCTGATTGCCTTATAATAGGCTGTTATTCTTGAAAATAGCCCAGTGTGAGCTATAGAGGAAGGACAAACTAGGATGCCACATGTCCTTTGAGTTACAGATTTGAAAATTTAATTTTGTATGGTTTACACTTTTCTCAAAGTTAGTCTTTAAAGGAATTAAATCTTAGAATGTCGTCCTATCTACAAGAGTTAAAATTAAAGGACGCAAATTTATTTAAAATAAATCTGTAAGGTAGTGTGGGGACCTGAAATTGGCTACCCCAAGATATGTCTCTTTGGCATCAGGATTATTTGAGGCTGATTGCTTTTGATAAACTGGGACAGGCAAGGAGGCTCTGAGGAATGGAACTTGCCCTTGGTTAGGACTCAGTTTACATTTGTAAGGTAAATCTCTATCTGTAAAAGGTGCCTCCCTCTCTGTACCAGGAAGAAGAAAGGAGATGACCTTCTCTCTAGAAACTCTTAATCAATACCAAAGGCAAGGACTAAAATCTGCATTTTATTGTACTAGTCTGGTAACCTCCTGTAACTGACTTCCCTCCCCCTCTCAACGTTGGCATTTCTTAAGGATTAAGCATCTTTCCTTAGGCTAGGAACTGATTGCTGCACTCACCTGTACAGCCCAGCTCCAGACAATAGGCTTGCCTCAGGCTAAGCCCTCTGAGACAGCAGACCACTACCTGAAGTGTCCATCAAGCGCTGTGCCAACAGGGCAATCTTGTGACTATTGTGGGAGGGACATTTCAATCACATTTGAAACACCCTGTTTGGGGGTATATAACCACTATGTGCACCCCACTTCTTCGGTGCCCTTTCTTCCGTGGAGAAGAAACGCCGCGGGCCATGGTTCCTCATAAAGCTTTGTTTAATTTTCTCTTGCTATTCTGTCTCATGTGAATTTAATTCGTTCTCCGGCCAGACGAACCCACATTTGGGAAGAGGAAATGTCTTCCTCCCCTACAGTAACAAAGATACAACCTATCCTGGTCCTCTCCAGCCCTGTTACTCTGGTCACCCCAAATGCACAGTTTTGATCATTTTTGAGCCCCTGTTAGTGTTTCTTTATATAAATCAGTCAAGAATGCATATTTTTCTTACCCACTTTGTCCTTGTAGTGAGCAGTCAGACTCTACATTTTTGGTGACTGCTCACAGCTTAAGCCCCACCCATGCTCTTCCCCTTGTGCTCCCACCTGGACAAACTGAGGAGGAAGCCTGGGTGCTGTCTCCTCTGGAGTAGGCAGGAGATTCCCACCACCCCAGCCCCTACCTGTGTGCAGAGCTCTTACCCCGGCCCCACTCCCAGGCCTAGTGAACCCCCAGGCCAGGCTCCATTCCTTGCTTTCGTGAGCCCTGTGAGAGCTGCTGGAGAGGCTGGCCCTGCCCTCCCCTCAGACCTCTATGATGTGAGTCCTAAGCCTTGTCCTGCCATCTGTGTGTGTGCGCCACCCTGGCCTGCGTCGCAACAAGGGAACCACCCCTCTGCAGGTGACCATTATAGTTGGCACCCTCAGCCTCATGTCCAGACATGACCCCAACCCTGGGTCTGTCTTCTCTTGCTCTGACTTGCTCCCCTGCTGTGCTGCCTGGTGGCGGCATGCACTGTTGTCTCCTGCTTGCTGGGGACAATCTTGTACAAGAACAGCTTTATTTCCTGCTTCCTAATGTTTGTCCCTTTTATTTCCTTTTTGTGTCTAATTGCCTTAACTGAGAATTCCAGTACAGCTTGACTCAGAGTGTTGGGAGGGGACATCCTTGTCTTCTTGATGTTACCAGACAGCATCTAGTTCTTTGAGTGTGGTCCACTATGATTAAACGAGAGTCCAGTAGATGTGGAGGTCGGTGTGGGCAGAGAGGAAGCATTCCTAGTCTGATGTTCTGCTCTCATTCTCTAGTGAGCCTGTGTCCCTGGGCCTGACCTTCTGTGGTATTGTAAGGGAGATATTTGTTGTTTGTCCTCAGTTCCTAGTGAAAACCTCTTGATGCCCTTGGATTTCTTGAGTGAGAAGGGTGATAGAGTGTCTTTTGTTTTAATGAGACAACTCTTGGCCAGCTCCTAGGTGCCTTCAGATTGGGGATTGGACACCAGAAACATCAAGCCTTGATTAAATTCTTGGAACTTTCAGTCCCAGCTCCCAGCGTCTGTGGAGAGGAGCGGGGCTGGAGACTGAGTTAATCACCAACGACCGGTGATTTAATAAATAGTGCCCATGTAATGCAGCCTCCATCTGAACTCTCACAGACAGAATTCAGAGGCTTTCTGAGCTGGTGACCACATCAGGTGCTGGGGGAATGGAGTGTCCAGAGAGGATGTGGAATCTCTGTAGCCTCCTCCACCTCCCCTCCTCTCAGCCATGTTTACATTTCCAGGAGATGTTATGGACACCGGGGTAAAATGTGGCAGTTTTTGTTCCCTTAAACACAATGGAAATGCAAGCTTGTTCCCTTTTGTTTCTACTAATTTGTGTTTACTTAGCAGTGTAGAGATTATGTTATTTCATAATTATTAGTATGTCATTTGATTCCCTGTCCCCATCTTTCCTCCCATGATGCCAATGAAGGAACTTAGGCACGTGGTCTCACTCAAATTCACATACCTCATAACAGTAGAATCTCTTTGTTCCAAGGCATAATGGGTGCCCTTCTCCTGGGCAATGTCAAAGTTTCAAACTCACAGAACACCACAAATTTTGTATAGTTAATGC